TATATATTTGATGCACAATGACGTAATTTTACTTGGTGCATTCTACGTGCTTGCGTTTAAGTTTGTTAATTGTTGTTTCAGCTTTGTTAATTATCTTAACTTGAAAAGGACCCAAAGTAAGGGTCGAAACGTCGTTTATAAATAAATTACTGCCAGTCAGGCTGACTTACATCCCGACTACATAAAAAAGAAAAGTTTACAGATAAACCATAAGTATTCCCATTCGCGATACAAATTTTGATGGAACATACGCTATTATGTGGAAATATGTATTTACCAAAATTCGGACACTGACTAATTTTGAAAAGATTGTTCTCATTGCGATCTCAGTAAATACCCTTACAACACATAGTACCGATAAGTACCGTTACAATGAATAATCAAAAATTAAAATATTATTGATAACTAGCCATAGTGTTATATTTCTTTAAAAAGTACGTAAACTGAAGAAGTTTCACAACGCAGGGTAAGATACAATAATTTAGACTAATTTTTTTTATATTTTTACATTTATAATGTAAATTCAACATACAGATTTGTCACATATATTTTTTCTACATATTTCCGTTTTTTTAAATTTTGTTACATGTTTTAATTGTTGCATTATTCCAGTTAAAAACTGAATAATGCTGAATTAGCATCGCTTTAGAAACTCAAACCCGTAAAAAAAGTAATTGATTATAGTTCTTCCGTCGATAAATGATATTCAGAAACTACAAGTGTATCTCAGCGACAAATTAAGAAAAAATTATAAAGCTTTGAAAGAACATTTTTCGAAGAAGGCTTGAAATGATTTAGCTGCCAGTAGTCTGATTTCTATTCAGCTATTCAACAGACGTCGAGCAGGCGAAATCAAACGGATATTAATTAATGATTTTAAAAATTATCAAAAAATCGACGAAGACACAATTGGCGAAGCTTATACCAAATTTTCAATTGAAGAAAAGAAAGCAGCACAAAAATACGTGCAATTCACAATCCGGGGAAAGTTGAACCGTACAGTACCAGTGTTATTGCACAGGGAACTTCTAATGTGCTTAGAACTTCTTTTAAAAAACAGGCATTTGGCAAACGTAAATAAAAACAACCCGTATTTGTTCGGTATTCAGCTGTTCAACAGACGTCGACCATCCGAAATCAAACGGATATTAATTAAAGATTTTCAGAAAGCAGCTCAAAAATACGTGCAATTCACAATCTGGGGAAAGTTATACCGTTCAATTTCGCCTGCTCGACGTCTGTTGAACAACTGAATAGAAATGAGGCTACTGGCAGCTAAATCATTCCAAGTGTCGAAGAGAAGTTTTTGCATAATCAGCAAGGCATGATGGACACGTCACGAAATCTGTAGCAAGTTTTTTATACTTGGCATTCGGCCTCCGCGTAAACTATTCGTTCTCCAGTATTAATAGCTCTATTCGTATTAAAATAGAATTGTCCACGTTTTCGAATTTTTTCCATTATTTTCTTCCGTTTGTTAGATCCTTTCTCGAAGCTCAAAAATTGAACTACCTCCTCTTCATCCTTGTGCTTACAAATAACATGTCGGCTTAACTTCCCTTGTTCCGCCTTGCAGAAAACACAAAAATTCTTTTTAATTCCAGATTCAGCGCTTTTTACAAACATTTCCACGTCGTCTGGTGCGCTGGTTCAACTTTATTGACTGTAAAAGAAGCATCCAAATCCGTCGATATGTTTTGAGATGTCGTAGAAGCATTATTAATATCGGTATCATTCTGTTCTTTTTGTCCTATGCTACCATTCGAACTTTCAAAATCAGGCACGTACGAAAAATTGCTGGAGTTATTAGAGACGACAGAGCTGCGACTGTCGTTCTCCTTATCAGAAAGATCGGGCTTGTTAGGGACCTCGCTAATCAATCGATTAGCATCTACAATATAAAGAAGAAGTTGTTCAAAAGCGTTGTGAAATAAAAAATATTACAGATTGGACATCTAACCTTCGCTTGTACGACAATTTGGAATCGGAAGCTCTGTGTCTTTTCTTTCGTCAACGTCATTATTTTGTTTTTGTTATGGAAGCACAGATTTATAAACATTAAACGCAATATCGTCCCAATCTCATACGCTATTATTAAAATCGGCACTGTTATCTGCAAAAAAACAAACCAAAAGTTAAATACATATTCATAAATTCTTCACACGCTGCAATTGTCATCAACTGGGCCACTTTATATTCATTTAATTATAACATCTTTCAGATTTATTTTACGTACACTTTATCTAAATTCGACAACGAAAAGTCATCTTTCCACATATTTACTTTCGCCAAGCAATAAAAAATGTGCACAAAACAAAAGGTAAAAAGTTTTAGTCGCAAAAAGCGTTAATAAATTTAACTTTAATTATATTATCTATTTTATCTTAGAGCAAGCGCAAAAGCGACTTTTTGTATTTTATTCTAAAAATGTTACATATACTTTTGATAATCGTACAAAACTAGAATAACACTCCGGATAATATCAGTTGATGAAGAATGCTTTATTTATTTAAATCTATATTACTTTATACGAACCTTCCTCAGAAACTGTTAAATTTGTTAGAGAAGTCGGAGTGATGCTTAGAATAGCCAAGTTTTTAAATGCATCAGAGTGTTGCGAAACACTTGCAGAAAGTTTTGTTGGCATAGTTTTTAATGTGGTATTTGAGGACATCTGATCAACGAATAGGTTAGTGTGTTGTTATCAGTTGCCGGAAACATTTCGCACTCTTCAGTCTGACTGGACTCTTCACTCGCATTATTTGCCGGCAATGTTTTCGATAAATGAACAATTTCCTCGACAAAGCAAAGGGTTCCAATGTTTTCAAGAGAAATAGGTTGTCTGCGAAAGAAGCTCCGGAGAAAAGACATCATCATTTCCTGAAATTTATTCGATTTCAATAAATTAGTTACTATGATCAAACGCAATATTTATAAAGGTGATCCTGCAGTATTCGTTGTCATTTTTTTAAAAATAATATTGAAAGAATAAATTCTTCACCGTTAACTGAAATACAAAAAAAAAACGCTTTTCACCATGCAGTTATTGAAGTATTGTAAATCGTCATACTGCTTAACATAAATCTATATTTAGATCTAAGGAACAGAAGCGAGATTGTCAATGAAGTAATTTTATTAAAAAATTTAGAAACTTTATAGGGTAACCCCAAAACGTATCAATAAAAAGTTTCTTAGGAACGTTTTATTCAGCCATAATAAGATTTTATCATATAACTTGCAATATAACACGAGAGAAAAAGATATCGGATGCAAGTCTGATGTGGGGCTGCACCACTTCTTACGCTATTACTCTGCATTATTCCCACGACAATGTCTATTACAGTGTTCTCTAAAAAAGGACATCGAATATCAAAATAGAGTAAATTTTCAGAAAGTGTGCTCACTTTTACTTTGTGCTGCTAGCTGTGGCTCGTTGGAACATGTATAATCGACACTCGTACCAGTTAGTTTGTTTTCTCTTCTGAAAGCAATTCGATCGCTTCAGCTTCATTGAGCTCTGAATCAGTTGTATTTGATGGCAATATCTCCGACAAACACACACTTTGGATTGCAAGACTTGACTTGTTTGAGCACGTAAGATTAACGTCTTGTCCAATTTGTTTATTATCCGCTGCTGGATAATAAACAATGCGATCGCTTTAGCTTTTTCAAGCTCAATTTTAGCCATATTCAATGGCAAAATCCCCAACGAACAAACACTCTCAGTGAAAAAGGAACGAATTGAATCATTTTCGAGAAAAATTGGCGTCTTTGTCAAAACCTTTAGCAAATCGATTTCAACAATTGCTGTAAGAAACTCGATTTTAATAAACTATAGAGTTTCTCTATAAAAATACAAAATTTAATAAATAGTTTTTATTCGAGTAGCAAATCATCTTCGTAAAATATACGTACGTGCATATCTATCGTTTGCGCGATTGAAACGTAGTTCTTTTCTCTGTACCTTCGTAGAGAGATCTGTTTTTTTATGTCCTGTAAATATGTAGCCTCGTGGATGAATGTAAACACACTACGACCTACACTAACATTATTTAGATATTACAAATACCTGTGTTTATTGAAGTACGAGGTCTTTTGGAAGATTTGGCCGATGAAGCGTACTTGGCAGAAGAGATTTCTTTGTTGAGTTCTCTTTTCGTTTCCAGTTCATTCTTTAAAGCAATAAGCTTATCTTTCTCGCCTGTAAATTCGCAAATAAACTTGAACAAAAATTGAAGTAAATAAATACACATACGTCTAACGGTACTCAATTTCAATAAAAACTAAATTTTATTTCAATTTTATTTTAGAATAAAATGTTGATTATCATATATATTTCATAGTATGGGTAATTCTAGGGACCGAAAACAGAAACGGAAAAGTGCTTTCCAGGACCATATGCGAATATAATTTAAAAAAAACAGCTCTCTGTAAAAATATCCGTTTAATTAACAGTAGTTTCTATTATCGAAGAACTTATGCGTTAAGTCAATGGAATGTGTGTTTCAATACGATAGACATGTAAACGAAGATCTTTGCCAATATCTTTAAACTCGATCAAAGTTATTTATTTCTTACCGATTGTGAGATGCACTACGATTCGCATTAGTTTTAACTTGAAATATGACTGTACGAGCAATACATCCTCTTCTTTATCCTTAAGTAAAGATATTCCCTACACGTTATTTTCAACTCGTAATAGTAATAAATTGCAATTACAACCACCAAATATTATTACGGCAATCTATATCGCATACTGAATTGAAAGAGTAATTTCGGAGACTAGGTTATATTCGACTATACAAGCACGCCATATATATTACTACAAATTTAATACTATAATGACTATATAATAAATGCGTGAATAACCTTACAATTTGATCTTTGTTTCACAATATAAAATATGAATTATAAAATATGAAAATATAAAATATGAATACGCATTATGCGTTGTGCAGAAATGTGTGCTCCCCGCTTTACTGCT